CATCGAAATAAGGGTTGATTTTTTTGAATCCAATACCGTCAATCTTTGGGGTCGCCTAAAATGGAGCAGAATCATGTAAAATAAGGCTAATCAAATTATAGAATTTGATGATCTCCGGCGAAGCAAGACAAGAAATAAAAGCGAAAACCCCGAAAATACAAAAAATGGCAGTCTAAACCTACCTTGGGTAAGTTAATTAAAAATGTCGGGAAGGTAATTTTGCTTATACATATTATTTTAAACCTAATCTATCCCTAAAGTTAATTCAATAAATATATATTATAAAATACACTCCGCTTTAGACGTCCCCCATAAATGTATGTAATTAGGAAAAAGTGCACTTACAGAATGTGCACTTATGGAATGTAATCTACTTATAATGTTACGTTATCAGTATAAAACTTTCAGTTTGAGAATTATGTGCGCACTTATATGATCAAATGCTTTCTTCATCGAATTTTTTACACTGTACGTATGTTACATTAGACGGATCAAATGATGTGCACTTATAGAAAGAAGTGTATGTGAAGTGCACTTATAGAAAGAAAGTGCGTGTGAAGTGCACTTATAAAGGATGCACTTATGGAAGATTGGCTGTGTAGCATTTTTCCAACAATGATTATATGCTACTCCGCGTTAATTCGGAACGCCAATGGATGCTAATTCGAGACCATATAAACTATTGTTGAAGGATTCGATTTTCAAAATAACGCCCACGAGCGTTATTTCGCGCTTATACGGCATCAAAAATTTCTTCAAGCAATCCGAGTTTATTAGTCTTTATCCATACTACTTGATCCAATTTTTGACTCACGACCTATCAGAAACTGCCCATACTGTCTCGGTAAAAGCTTTAGTAAAATTGTAATCTATCAATATGATTATATAGGTACAATATATAATACACATTAAAATATTATTTTAGTAAATTTTGCCTATTTTAAATCTTGACCTGTTTGACCCGGGTTAGATTAATTTTTGCCCCGTGACCCGTACGGGTCAACTGACCCAGGTAATACCTTGATCATATGAGTGCGTACATACTTCTCAAACTGAAATTTTTACATAAGTAACGTAACTTATATGTAGATTACATTCCATGAGAGCACATTCTGTAAGAGCACTTTTTTCTAATTACATACATTTATGGGGACGTCTAAAGCGGAGTAGATCCTATAATATATATTTATTGAATTAACTTTAGGATTAGAATCATTTATATTAGGAATAGATTACAATTACATATGAGCAAAATTGTTTACACAAGGTAGGTTTAGACTGCCGTTTTTTGTATTTTCAGGTTTTTCGCTTTTATTTCTTGTCTTGCTTCGCCAGGGATCATCAAATTCTATAATTTGATTGGCCATATTTCACCTCTGCTTTAGACGACCCCAAACATTGACAGTATTGGATTCAAAAAAAAATCAACATTTATTTCGAAATGATGCACCCAAATAACACGCAGATGGCATTTATACGGTACAAACTCCGAAAAGATCCGATTTAAATATTTGTTAGTATGTTTAGATATGCTACGACGGGCACACATCATATATGATCCGTATGACCCATTGACCCAGATCATAACCCAGGTTGACATTTGACCCATCCGGGTTGTTATTTTCTGACCTGGGTAATACCTCTATTTCTGGGTCTTTTGTTGCTAGTTGTAGCAGCTGTAGTGGTTGTATTGAAGGTAGTTGCCAGGTTTATCACAGAGGTGATTTGATTGGTAGGTGTACTCGGTCTGAGTGGGGTAGAATTTGTGGTATTGCTGGTGATAGAGCTACTAGTTGAGAATATGTTAGTTGTGACAAAGATGAGGGGCTGTGTTTGTTTCTGTGGTAGTATTGGTGTTTTTATTTATATTGTATGTAATATTAATAGAGTCTAGATAGGTCTGTAGGGGTGTGTACAGGTTCATTAGAGATTACAGAGTGTGTAAAATCTTTCATGTTGCTCTTGTTAGATTCATTGTCAGATTCTATTTGTCCAATATTATTGTATGAAATTCTGATCAGGTCAGCGGTACTTTTTGCTTTTGTGTAAGGTTTCATATGCATTTGTAATAGTAGCAAGATTACAATCATGGCTTGATTTAGGGTGCTTGGTACTGATGTTTATAGTGTTGTTTCTTTGTATAGTAAAACTAATTAAATAGAATTATTATATTGCATATCCATTGTGATGAGAAATTGACCAGATTTGAAATTTTCTAAATTTAGTAATATTGATATAGAAAAGAAAGTCTTTTTTTTTTGTCAATTCGGCAATCTTGCCAATTCTTTATTAGGTATAAACATTTAAACTCACAGATAAAAATATAATTTAACTAAAGTTATCTAAAGTTACAAGTATTAGCTAACCTGGCTCTTTGTAACACTGAAGTGCCCAAATTATCTATGTTCAATCTGCTATAATAAAGTTTATTTTCATATTGAAACCCGGGAAAGTTGGGTCTCCAGAAATTTCAATTTTAGGTTAGCTAATATTATGTATATACCATAGTACCTATTTTTAGCTAGTGATGATCATTTATTTATTTGGGGTATGATTTTTAAGAGTGATTTGTTTTAAAAGTCTTAATGGTAATAGTAGAGATTATAAGACTTTTAAATATAAAAAGTATTTTCTTTACTAAATATATTTTAAGTATTTGTATAATAATACTTAAAAGCTTTATCAAAAACATAGTATAAAGAAAGTATATAAGCAACCCTTTTTGCTATTTAATAAAGATATTATTTATACAATTTAAACAAGTGTCCTTTAGCTTGTCTTTGCCTCTCTATTTATAAATTCAAGACACTACCTTTACCTTGATCTTTGCTAAATTAAATTCTTGCCTATTGTTAAATTTTATTATAAACTATAACCATAATGCTGTCTAACGATTACTCTTCTATATAAACCCAAATTTAGGTTAGATTGTTCCTATTGTTTAACTATTAAATCCAACCCACTATTGTCTTTTTAGTATAAGCATTATTATGAATCTTAGTATTTGAGTATTATAACCAGAAAAGTATCATGATATCTGATTTCGTTGCGGGCTAGTTCTAATGGTTAAAGAATTGCTAAACTGATGTTTATCACATGATATTTGTTGTCTAAAGATTGCCAAAGTCTTAGAACTATTCCACTTTGCCAAATCTAAATGTCTCTTTCAATAGGCTTTCTTGTTAGCCTTAGTGGTTGTTTGTTTGGTTTGTTGATTTATTGTATCCCTGGTAATCACATTTTCTGAGTAACAATTGGTAGTAACTGTAAGATACAGCATTCTATAGTTTTTAAAATTACTCTTCATTTTATTAGTAGTTTTAGTCTTAGTTTTATTGATAGCTTTAGCTAAATTATCATTATTTTAGGAATAGTGTACTATTTAGTTTAGAATAGAAGATTTTTTAATTCAAAACAAAGATCTTCAAGTTGAGAAAAATGAAGTCAATAGAGATATTTAGGATATTCATATTCAAGAAAATCAAGTACTAGTTGATGGTGAAAACTAACCAAAGCCAGAGAATATTCAAGAAATCTTCAAACAGATTGCTAGTATATTCAAAAACATGACTAAAGGATCTTCATATAGAGAAACCAATTGGGTCCAGGTCAAACCTTTCAAAGGTAAAGAGAATAAAGATCTGATCAAGTGAATTGAGGTCTTTGAACAAGCCACCAATATAAATAATTGGAAAGAAGAGCATAAAATTAAGATTGCCTTGGGTTATCTATTCAAGATAGTGGCAAATTGATATAAGGGTAAAAAGAATAATCTATGATATTGAGACAATGCTAATGATATAAATGCTAGTTTTAAGAAGCAATTTATTAATTACTTCATTACACATAAATAATACTATAAATAGCAAGTAAACCTGGATAACCTAGAGCAAGAAGGCAATGAGCATATAGACTTCTACACTTATAAGTTTAAGCATTTGTTGTCTAAAGTTGATGCTAATAAGAGTATTCTGGCTCCTTACATTATAAGGATATTCCTAAAAGAGTTTAAGAAAAATATTGCGACACTTTTGTCTTTAGCAGAACTGGATAGTCTTGATAATGCCATTGTGATAACCCGTAGAATTGATGTGAGAAGCCATTATGAAGAAAAGAAAGAAGCTAAATCAGTTTTAAGGATGGAAAAAAAATTGGAAGACCTAACCCATAAACTAAACAAATAGCAGCTAATTATAAAAAACTCACTACTACTCTAGCTACTATGATAGATACCCATTCCACCCATGATAGACTACCCTGATTACCAAATTTAAAAATTATTTGTTTCAATTGTGGTAAGCCAAGTCATATATCTAGAAAATATCAGTCAAAAAAAAAATAAAATAAACAGAAAAATCCCACTCAGTAGTGCTTCTATTAAACCAAACTAAACCAAACTTTAAGCAAATTTGAGTTTAGTTTGAAAATTAAATCAAATTCAAATTCAAACTTTTTAAAAATTATATCTAGTTTGAGTTCAGTTTGAGTTCAATAACATTATATTTGTATTTGATTTGGATTTGATTTGAAGTTTGCAAACTACATCAGCAAATTATATAAATATAAACTTATGTAAGTTATTACGTCTCGTAATATTGCACAATAATTATGGTCTGGGCATAATATTATGTGATTTATTATGGAATATTACGTAATTTATTACGGAATATTATGCAATTTATTATGGAATATTATGCAATAAATCACGTAATATTATGAAATAAATCGCATAATATTATGAAATTAATCGTGTAATATTTCAAAATAAATTGCAATATTTCGAAAATATTTGAAAAAATGTGAAAGAATATATCTTAATCATGTAATTATACAATTTATTAAATGATTAATTTATTTAAATAATTAATTTATTACACTTATATAATACAAAACAATGTTATTTTATATCAACTATCTAATAAAACTACTCTATTCTACCCTAACTTTAACCCTAACTAGCAGCAAAGCAATATCAACAAAAACGAGGGTCACCAATGAAACTACAAAGCAATACCGGAAGTTATAAAGCTATCGAGTTCACCACCAGCAACAATTCGAAACGAAGCGATGAAGAAAACACCCAAAACTCATCTAGAAAGAAAGAAGAGTGGTGGTTGAATGTGTTTTTTAGGAAATCAAAATCAACTATGATTAAATAGTAGCCACCCAAAGCCGGAATGCAATTCCAAATAAAGAAACAATGAAGAAAAAACTAAAACTTGCCTGAAAAAAAGAAGTAGTAGTTGAATGTGTTTTTAGAAAATCCAAATCAACTATAATTAAATAGTAGCCACCCAAAGTCAGAAGTGCAATTTCAAACAAAGAAAAATGAAGAAAAAAGCAAACCTCACCTAAAAAGAAAGAATGAGTGGTAGTTGAATGTGTTTCCAGGAAATCAAAATCAACTACGATTAAATAGCAGCCACTCAAAGCCGGAAGTGCAATTCCAAACGAAGAAGCGACGAAGAAAAAAACCGAAACTTACCTAGAAAAAAGAAAAAGTGGTAGTTAAATGTGTTTCCAGGAAATCAAAATCAACTACAATTAAATAGTAACCACCCAAACCAGAAGTGCAATTCCAAATGAAGAAGCAACAAAGAAAAAAACTAAAACTCACCTGAAAAAAGAAAGAAGAGTGATAGTTGAATGTTTTTAGGAAATCAAGATCAACTACAATTAAATAGTAGCCACCCAAAGCCGGAAGTGCAATTCCAAACGAAGAGCGATGAAAAAAAAAAACTGAACCTCACCTAAAAAGAAAAAATGAGTGGTAGTTGAATGTGTTTCTAGGAAATCAAAATCAACTATAATTAAATAGTAGCTATTCAAAGCCGAAAGTGCAATTCCAAATAAAGAACAATAAAGAAAAAAACCGAACTTCACCTAAAAAGAAAGAATGAGTGGTAGTTGAATGTGTTTCCAGGAAATCAAAATCAACTACAATTAAATAGCAGCTACCCAAAGCCGGAAGTGCAATTCTAAACGAAGAGCGATGAAGAAAAAAACTGAACCTCACCTAAAAAAAAGAATGAGTAGTAGTTGAATGTGTTTCCAGAAAATCAAAATCAACTACGATTAAATAGTAGCCATCCAAAGCCGAAAGTGCAATTCCAAACAAAGAGCAATGAAGAAAAAACCTGAACCTCACCTAAGAAGAATGAATGAGTGGTAGTTGAATGTGTTTCCAGAAAATTAAAATCAACTATGATTAAATAGTAGCCATCCAAAGCCGGAAATGCAATTCCAAATGAAGAGCGATGAAGAAAAAAAACTGAACCTCACCTAAAAAGAAAGAATGAGTGGTAGTTAAATGTGTTTTCAGAAAATCAAAATCAACTACGATTAAATAGTAGCCATCTAAAGCCGGAAGTGCAATTTCAAACGAAGAGTGATGAAAAAAAAAACTAAACCTCACCTAAAAAGAATAAATAAGTGGTAGTTAAATGTGTTTTCAGGAAATCAAAATCAACTATGATTAAATAGTAGCCATCCAAAGCCGGAAGTGCAATTCCAAATGAAGAGCAATAAAAAAAAAAACTGAACCTCACCTAAAAAGAAAGAATGAGTAGTAGTTGAATGTGTTTTCAGAAAATCAAAATCAACTACGATTAAATAGTAGCCATCCAAAGCCAGAAATGCAATTCCAAACGAAGAGCAATGAAGAAAAAAACTGAACCTTACCTAAAAAGAATGAATAAGTGGTAGTTGAATGTGTTTCCAGGAAATCAAAATCAACTACGATTAAATAGTAGCCACCCAAAACCGGAAGTGCAATTCCAAACGAAAAGCGATGAAGAAAAAAACTGAACCTCACCTAAAAAGAAAGAATGAGTGGTAGTTGAATGTGTTTT